GGTTTCTGAGGGGGAGTTGAACTTGGAGTTTTTGACGCTTAGAGCTGGAACAAGGGTTGCTGATTGACGCCCCAAAAAGACAGATTGACCCCCCAGCAGATGGTAAATGAATCCCCCAGTGCATTTCCACTACAGAATGGGAGTGCTCGAGCCCCTATACAAATCAGTTTTTTATATAAAAATCGTGTCCCATGATGACCTCGTGTACTTGCATGTTGTAGTGATTTAAGTGTTTCGCTCAGAGACATTGAACAAATGTCACCAGCCACCATCATTTTGTAGTGACAATTTTTGGCATGAACATGATGACATCATTTGCTTGGGCGGACATTTTATAGTGGAGCCTTGCTTGGATCCAAGTCATACCAAATCCATTTTGTAGTGGAAGCCATTTCAAGTGTGTTGCAAAGAGCAAGGTTGCACGCTGTCATTTTGTAGAGGTGCCTTTTTGAACGATAGTCATTTTGTAGTGGAAGCACTTTTTGGTGAACAATGGCTGCATCCGGCAAAGATCCTTTTGGATCAGCTGACCCTATATTTTCATGATCCAAGACGAGTGCACTACAAAATGTTTTTCAGTGTTTTGTATTTTTTATTTGTTGAGAGGTTGAGGGTTGGGCCAGGCATTCTCTAGAGCAATTTCAGCTTGACTTGAAGCAGACTCCCCATTTCTATCATCACTAGAGATATCTTCATTTTATAGATACCTTTTTGTTCCAGGTCCTAGCATTTTGTAACACCAAACTCCGCGTCCCCACTTTTATAGCTATAGAATTGGGTGTCCAAGGTCACCCCGTTATGTACAGGGGGATGTAAATGATAATTCTAGCCAGTTTGGACCTTTTTTCTGCTCCTCACTCTTCTGATCCCACGTTCCACCAGGTGCTCAAGCCACTGGAGAGCCCGGCGGCCCTGGATACTCGTGCGATACTCGCAGGGTCCTTTGTGCACGAATCATGGAAAACCTGGAAAAGCAACCACGTGAAACCATTGAATTTGCACTGTTACTTTAACATACTCTATATAGACTCTAATGGTTATATAACCTTTAATAGATCACTCCCTAGAATCATCATGGGCCAACGTGGATGGCATGTCCACGATTTCGGATGACCATGAGATCCCTATACCAAAGAGGAAACTGTCCACTCCTAATTGTTCCAGGGATTGTACTGTAGATGTTGAAGGGCCCTAGGGCTCCAGTCGTACCTTCGTTTCGAAGGTGGGACTGGGGTGGGTGCCAGGAGGGTCCAGATACCTTTTGAGGAGGTACGACTGGAGCCCTAGATGCATTTCAACATATTTCAACCACTAGTCACTGCAGATGTCAAGCATGAAAGCCCGATCCGATTACCCACCAGCCGTGTATACAGTACAGAGTCAGCAGACGGGAGGGTGGCATATAGTTGGAATGATAGACAGATGAAATCAATGAAGGCAGAGTAGCGTTTCAGGAGCACATGAAGGAATGCTTCCGCCGAATTCAGAAAATCAAGGACAGGTACCCAGACGCTCCGTGAACGACGCCCTGTCCAGGTCCCTCAAAAGCGATCGGAATTGGTGGGAAAGCTCCCGACCCGAGGGGTTGGGTCCAAGCCCTCCATAGGTCCAGGAGTGCTTGGGTATATATAGAAAGGAACGGTGCATAGGCTGGAGCTTTCAAGCTTCGCAACACCGGCCGATCCCATGCAGTGGTCGGTTGTGGGGGTTGGGAGATCCAGGCAGAAGCTGGAGTTCACCCTCACACAGAACCAACCGCCCACCCGAATCCGGTCCCATTCAGAGTTCACACATACAAAGGGCATGTTTGGGTCCTTCAACCCCCCCAAGGGGTGTCAGTACGGCAGCCCACCACGCCCTGAGAAACCACCACATTAAACCCTAGGGATCCTGTCGTACCTTCTCAGGTACGGCACGACTGGACCCGACCCAGGCACCCACCCCAGTCCCACCATCGAAACGAAGCTACGACTGGATCCCGAACGGAAAAGGTGTCGAGTTCGCTGAAAACCCCCCTGCCACTTCGGTTTATCGGGCGATCTTTGGATCGTTCCTCAGGTGGCAGTGGTCCACCGCTGTGAGCTCCTCAGCATCCGGGTGAAGACGGGCGCAGACTAGACTGAAGGACCTGGATGTTCCAACTTATGCAAATACCTGTGGTGTTTTAATACTATACGACTATACCTGGATTTTCTATAATACGATACCCGGATTTCAGCCTGTGGGCGTGGTTTTATGGATGACATTGCCATATAATTACCCTGAATATGACACAGCAAGTGGTGACCCCCTTTCCACCTGCGGCTGCTGGCGCAGCCGCTGGTCCGGTGGCAGAGAGGCACGTCGGGGCTCAACAGTGAGGGAGGTTTCACCTGGATTCCGGGCCCGCGTAGATTCGTAGACGGTCTTTAATGGGATACCAAACAACCATCAATTTTAAAATCGATATATTGTAATATACTATTCTATCTCGGCTATGCCTCGCGGAGCAAATAATCAAGTCCGCAAAACACTATGGTTATATATTCTATTTGCTGGTCATACACTGTATTGAGTTCAATCCCAATGCAATCATGCAATCCCAAGTCACTTGTTGATATAAAGAGCAGCCTTCTATTGGGTTGCACGGGCAATCCGGCGATGCCTTGCACTATTTGTTTTTTTGGGTCTTTTTGTTTGATGACATGGGATTCATCACAAGGGGAGAAGGCCAGGCAGATCTCATGTATGTGTTCTAAATCCCATGTCCTCCTAAGCTAGTACAATGATACCAACAAAAACGGAATCATATGTATCTTTTTAAATGGTCTTCTGACTGGTGCGACTCGCAGGGAATGAGGGAATGGATCCAATAGAATCTCTATTGGGGGCTCATTCCCTTATTCCCTACGAGTCGCACCAGTCAGTCTTGACGGCGAGGGCTTTGTGGGCTAGACCCGTCTTGTCCAGTGACTGGAAGGTTCACTGGACCTGAGGCCACGAAGAGAGATGAATCTGACGAGGAGGGCGGGGTCTCCAACCGTCAGCGACAGCGGATCGAGGAACAAGAGCATATGACCGAGGCGTTTCTCCAGTCGACTCCATGGGGCTGGCATATGTATTATGTATGGCATATATATGCCTATACTATACCAGTACCTATTACCCTGAAGCCACCCAATATATTTTGCTAAATTTCGCGAATAGTTTTATTTCAGGCTGTTTTAGGTGCTTCAAATATCTTGGAGTGTTTGGGTATTCTTCTTTGTGTCGAGGAGAGCTGCTGGCGACCTGGAATGCTGTTGTGCTGCTTGCTTGCTTGCGTGTTCAGCTTGCAGTTGTTTCGATTCGAGGCCTGTCACATCGTTGCAGGAGCTTGAGAAGGAGGAAGATGCTGGGGAGTCTGAGGATGAACGAGACAAGGTACGAGAGCAGCACCATCAAACAATGGTGAACGCTGGTCATTTTGTGAAGAACATGAAGAACCTGATCAACCTGTTGGCTGGTTTGCCAGAAGCAGACAAGGTAGTGCCCGTGAGAGAGCAGCGTCCATCGGACGTGCTGCTATGCAAATGCTTATATATCGCTTCATTCATTCTTGCGCTTTCTCGGCAGGAGAGGAGAAAGGAGAAGGACCGCAAGAAAGAAAAAGACAGGGAAAAGGCTCCTTGCGTTATTGTCCATTTGATTTGATTGTCCAAGTTTAAGATTTGATATTCTTGTTTCCTATGCTCTGTCTTTGTGCTTTCTTTCTTACCCATTGAAACGTTGAAGTCTTGCAGCAGAAGACGTTCTTTGAGCTGAAGATTTGCATCATTTGCCTCTGAAAGACTGGCTAGGTAGGAAACCTGAACCCACTCTTGCGGCATGGAGGATCTGCTTGTCATGTAAACACCAGTCACAAATGACCCTACCGAACTGGCGCGCCAGAAGTCCAAGCGGACCAAGTCCAAGAAGAAGAGAGAGGACCGGAATTTGGTGTTGGAGTCATTTGTCCAATCGAAGACAGAGAAGTGGACCAGGTAAACCTGTGACTAGTCCAAACATTCTGAATGCCAGCCGCGCCCCTACAGGGTATACAGTTGACGGAGTTTCGAAACGCAAGTCTCCTTTGAAGAGGCTTCTCCTGTCATGGGTTCTTCGATGCTGTTCGCATTCGATGCAGAATAGTTGTCTCGGTGATGACATGCCCTGAAAGCGAAACGCCGCACAAGGACGAAATTGATCATCTTCATATTCAATTCGGGTCATTGTTTGCCTGGTTTGGAGCTGATTTGGGGGGCTTGTTTTCAACTACAGGCTGCACAGGGACATGTGACGACATGAGTGAGCTGTGCATTTCAGGACTCCCTACAGGGACACAAACGAGGACCCTTCATTCACCCCTCCACACCTGTTCACGTCGACTTGGGACAAAAACCATCACCACGATGGTGGCGTTCATGCGCAAAAACCCGCTCACCTGCCTGCCTCCGTTGTTCCGCAAAGCGTGGCATTCGGCTGAGCGAAACACGCAGACCGCTGGGCCTCATTGTGGACATGACACCGTTCGACTGTTCGACCCTGTCCTTCCGTTCGACCATTAAGACGTAATAGACCTGGACATGTTTTATACTTATAAAATCAAATCCTTACATCAAACACAGTGCTGTTCAGGCTGGCTCGCAAATCAGTCCAAAAATCGCCATGGTCGGGTATAAAGATGTCCAGACAGTGGGTCAGACCGGCAGTGAACCTCGGAAGTGACCTTCAAACAGCTCCTTGGTGCGCTGAGGAGCTGGTGGGAAAAGGAACCCGCAAGAGGACGGAGGAACGTCAACGCTGAATCGATTGGTCCACTGTGCCACTTTCTCCAGCCCAGAAGCCCAGTCCCCGTTGCCTCCAGTCGTACCGAACGGTTTTCGGGACGTTGGGACTAAACACCGAACCTCAGGAGGTACGACTGGAGGTGTAGGGTTTATAAAGATTATAAAGCTGATCCAGGTAACCCCCCAAAAAACGGGTTAGTTAGCAGACACTCTCACTTCACCTCCCACCCTGGCCATGAGCGTCATCGCTTTGCGCTACTTGCGTTCCCGCAATGCCACCGGGAACACGTTGCTGTCGAGCACGGAGCAGCTCACAGACGTGTCCAACACGCAATACTTGGGCAAAATCAGCGTTGGCACGCCCGGGCAGAGCCTCGAGGTGGGGGAGGTGTCAAAGCCTTTCTACTTGTTCATGAGGAATATATGGGAAAAGCATGGAACAGCCATGAAACACATATATATACCTAGATCTTCAGTCCGGCACTTTTGCAGGGTCCGGCGCCGGACTTCCAACTCCGGCGTTTTTCTGGATTTGGTCCGGCGCTTTTTCCAAGTCACTTTATGTGGATTCTCAAGGCTTTGCATTCTTTGTGATCTGCTTTCTTTGAAGTTAAACCCACTACTGATGCAACGATTTTGTTTGCGAAGTGTGCTCGTTTGCCTGTTCCGCTGTTTTCTCATTCCACCGGTTTCAGCATGGTTCACACTGGATCAATCAGATCCGTTTAGCTGATCTTCTAAATGAAATCGGATGAAGCCGGTACAGTGCGATGCACCTGTTGAAAGACCCAAGTGGGTGCACCTAAGCTGAAAGAGCATAGGCAAAAATGTACAGTACTCCCATTGTTTCAGGATGTCGGGGCGCTGGGATATAGTTCTAGCTGCGCAGGTTTGCAGAGCCTGCCGGACATGTTTTGGGCTGTGGAACATGTGTTGTTCAGAATTTCAATGTTTTGCAGAGAGTTGTCAAAAAATTGCACGTCGTAACTCCGGCGTAATTTCCCGTAATTCCGGCGTAATTTCCCGTAACTCCGGCGTATTTTCCCGTAACTCCGGCGTATTTTTGTTGGACTGAGTGTTCTGCAGGCTTTGATTGTGAACAGTTTTTCACAGAAGAGTTTTGACAGGAACCATGAGTTCTGCTACTTTATTGGAGGGCCGTCCTGAGGCAAGCTTTAAAGAAACATTAAGAAGCATGAGAATCATGAAGAGCAACCCACTTTGTAAAAAAACACGAGAGACACGGTTGCAGAGAAAGAGGGGTTCCTTGCCACATACTCCTTGGTTTTTTCTTGGAAGTCTTTGCTTGGGCACAAGTTGCTTATATTTTGTGATTTCTGCTCTTAGGCCATTCGGAAGATGGGCGAGGGCAATGGGAACGGGAAGGTTCGAGTGTGCTCCAGAAAAACTACTCGCGGCGCAAAGGCAGTTTGCTTGTGTATGATCCAACCTTTTATCATCTCTGTTTTTCAGAATCTTGGATCCGGATGTTTTTTCAGGTCTCCGGCGTTTTTTTCGGAATCCGGCGGAAAATTTTGCCGGATTGAGGTCCGGCACTTTTTTCCGCCCAAAGGAGGATCCAGGTATAGCTGTAGCTGTGTGTGTGTGTGTTGACCTACTGTGAAGTGAAGTGCGGGACATTTTGAACTTTTGGTGCGGGACTAGCACCATCTATTGCTCCTATAGGTCCAGAACATGCGGAAAAAGACACGCCGAACACAGCATCAGCATCACCACTCCACCGCCACCCTTCTGGGCTCCCAGAGAGGTTCCCAGCAGTTTTGGGGTCGTTTTGGTCCGTCCTTGTTTGGGAGCTCATCACTGGCGTGCCCCAGTAAAACTAACATCCAGCAAAACGGTTTTTGTTTGATGACGGCCTTTTTTCACTCAAAAAATGCATCCGGCAAAATAGAAGATCCAGGTATCCTGTCAAGAGCTCATTGCAGAAGGAGTGTTTGGATAATTACCAGCAAAATAATGCCAGAAAATGTGCCGTGAGAGAATGCCTTAATGTGTGCCAGATAGAATGCCAGAAAATATACCAACATTAGCCTAAATATATCATAAGATATCCTAGATAGAATGCTAGAACATATGCCAGATAGAATGTCATAATGTATGCTAATAGCATGCCCAAATATATGCCAGATAGACACTTCCGTGTTGATGTTGCAGCACTATAGCCGCCGGATATCAGCAGAGTATAATGCTATGGTGGGGGTCACTCGAAGTAACGTAACGTAACGTGATCTCCGCCTGCATCATCGTCCACTGAAGCCTGGGAATGGGATATAGGTCATGGACGCCCTAGACACTCCACGTGTGGATTTGCTTTATCTACATGGACGCCGAGGTCATCCACCACCCCACTATACCCAGACAAAACCTGGGACTGCCATTCAACCACCCCTGGCCGGAACTCTCGGCAGTCCGGCAGTTCCAGACACGTCGTGTTTGGGGTAGGTCAATCCTGTGGCAGAACCTCTTCGACAGGGAACCTCGGACCATGGGCCGTGCCGCGCCGTGCTAGAGTCTAGAGGTGGGTCAGAACCCGACGTAGTTCGACTATCCGAACGTTCGGTACCCCTGCTAGGTGATGGTTTCGGATATGTTTCAACCCTTACTTGGGGATGATTGGACCCTTTGACTCATATTTTTGAAAACACCCAGCAGCCTGGTGTTCCAGGTCCTCAGACCCAGGTCACAAACCAACCTGGTGTCGAGGTGATCTTCGACACGGGCTCCTCGGACCTCTGGCTGCGTGGCGACGTCTTCGCAGCGGCGGACTCCAGCAGCTTCGTGGATTTGGAGGCGGAGGCGTCGGTGGTCTACGGTGGACGCTTTGGTGCTGGAGGCGTCCGGTGGGTTTGTTGATGTATACCCAGGATCATCCTGGACCTGGGTGTCCAATAGACTAACCTACCCTACAGGTCCAGACATACGTGTCCTACCAGGATCATCCTGGACCTGGGTGTCCTGGCGTTCGACTACCCTACCCTACGTAAACAGGTCATAACAGGTCTCCTACTCCAGGGCACCCGGACAGGAAGTGCTAGGTAGGCTTTACTTTCTGCTTTTGGATGCTTTAACCCTTAGTGCCATCCCTATGTTGATGTTCCCTATCAGGTTGTCCATGTATAGCTTCGAAAAGAGGTTAAGATAGGGTTAATGATGACCGCCATAATTGGGGGTCCTGGTATGTATGGGTTTCCTCCACTTCCACTGGACCATGTTTGTCGCATTTTGCCGCCTTCACCAGCAAGTCCAAGGACAGGTGCCCTTGCAAGGGAAACTCGTCCAGGAGACGATCACACTATGCGATGCGAGGTGGGGATTTGGGGAGCTGGAGGACGGAGTTCCATGGGTCACGGGAGCAACGCAGTACGGATTTTTGTCAAGGGGCTCAGAGCTGGGTGAATCATCTCAGACTGAAGAAATCCAAGTCATGGGAGGAAGTGTGAACATACTCCCCTGCTATTCGGACCACATGGACCTCGAAAACCACGTCCGGGAGGTCATCGGAACGTCGAAACCCACCCGGTGTTCAAACCACTGGGTTCGGGATCGTGACGGCGGTTAGAGTAGATGGCAGTGCTTGAGATTTGATGGCAGTGCGGCAGTGCGTGTGCAGAAAAAACGCCTACAGTACTACAGGGATCCGCCATCCGCTGCTGGTGGCGAGCGGCTCGGGGAGCGGATCCGACCGGCACACGGAGGGACCACGAGCTGGGCCGCTTTTGGGCAACTGATCGCCATTGGACCAAACAGCCATGTTTGGCTTGGTAAGTCATAAGGCAAATTGGTTCCCGCACTAGCGCACTACTAGGCTTACAGCATGGTTCGCCCTGCTCCAGGAGGTAAATCGTCAACACATCTGAGTTCTCCACTAGAAACACTCCCAAAGCCAAGACGAACAGAGAGGGTTGTTTTGACAGCTACCTTGGCGCCAGGTGTTCTTCCCAGTCAATGTTGCTGGTGCCTGCTGGCTCCATGCCTAGCGTGGTGGCTGATGGAGTGCTGGGCTTGGCGATGCCTGGCTTGAGCCACACAGGAATGACCTTCCTGCAGCACCTTGAAGGGTGACTTGGTGAACGTCTTATCAGGTTTTCCTTCTGTTGCAACAGCTACTGTCCCATCAACTCGAGTTTTCACCCGCACACTCCAACGATTCCAGATGCTTGGACCATGCTTGGGCCGAGCTTGCAAGGCCCAGGCTTCCCTGATTTTGAGTCGTAGGGACATGGGGGACATCAAAGGACCGACCCGTTTCTTCCTTGATTCATTAAAGATCGATATATCCCACACGATCCATGTATATCCCAGACGATCCATGGCAAATATGACCAACATGAAAACCACATGTTCACCACAAGAACGACACCAAATGTAGGCCATATTTGTTCACATGAATCCTAAAATTGTTTAATCAAACATGTTTAAACTATATAGCAGTATTGATACCTCGTAGTATGAACATGATTTAATTTGGTGAGACTTCTTGAGGCTGACGATTGAACCGATTCTAAGGCAAGGGATAGACCGCTTCGCTTTCGCCCTTTCTGGTCCCGATGCTGAATCCTTCTTCATCCTGGGCATGCCAGGAACGGACTCTGAGTCATTGCTCGGGCGCTGTATACTTTCTTGGATGATTCTCATGGTTTTTTTATGGCGGATTTTTTTGGAGAGGTAAAAGAACATCAGCGAGGTGCACATTTGTATATCCCATATTATAGTTTTAACCCACCCTGGGTGTCTCTCAGCCTATATTACTAGTAAAAAGAATGGTCAGAATGACCCGATGTTGAAGGGACTTTCCTTTACATTCAGTTGGTCCAAAAAAGACACGGTCTGATGGGCCTTGAACCATCAGGTGGTTCCGAACGTGGCTGACACATCACTTCCTCATCACTTCCAAGTGGGTCCACAAAAACAGTTGGTCTTGGGACTTCGGTGGAAGAACCTCAGCCACCTCAACCCATCAGTCAGAACCGACACTGGAGTCAGCTGAGGATTGGTATCAGACGTCCTCCTTACGATGGACTCCTTCCAGCTCTCCGGACCGTTGGTGGTCCTTTCAGGGGGAGCTGGTGGTGAAGAAGCACGCCATTCTCAGTGGGGAGTTCTTGTTGGACTCTTGGAATCCTAGTCCAGCAGAGGTGCGTCAGAACAAGAACTAGGCTATCCTAATTCGGTACCCCAGGTGACGGGTCCTAGTTCAGGTCACAAACAACCTCTGTTGGGTCCTGGAGTGGTCTAGAGAGCCCAAAAGGGTCCCCGCATGCGACGTTTTTTTGGCTTCGTACCTTTGTAGAAGACCAATGCCCTGTTTCCCAAGGTTCAGATTTGAACCTGATTGGTCAAGCAGCCTGCGACCTGAGAATGTGTTTTGCCATTGATCCTCATGGACCCACATTTGTTCCTTTTCGGGCACCGACAGGGACGCACTCAGGATTCGGGCACCTCCTTCATTGCCGTCTCCTCATCCATGCAAGAGCGCTTGCTGCGACGGATGCTGCCGGAGGCTTCTGAGAGATGTTACCTGAACTCCGGAAATCTCTTCATGTGCCCCTGCGACGTCGGCCCTCAGATGCACCACGTGGGTGTGCTGGTGGAGGGGGAGATCTTTGAAATGACGTCTTCGAGTTTATTGACTCCATCGGATGATTTCTGGTGTGTTTTGGCACCTGGGCAGGATAGATGTGTATAGTCCTTTTTCTCTGGGGCATCAGACCAAACGGGCTCGTGCAACAACGCACATTGCCATGTCATTTTGCTCCAACATCCAGATCAACCAGGAATGTTGCTGGACGCCAAGAACTTTCCCTAGGGATCCAAGCACCTTCTCAGAAGATGATTGGAGACACTGTTATGTAGGTGCCAGGATCGTCCAGCCGTACCTTCCGAGAAGGTGCGACTGGATCCCTAGGGTTTAAGGTTTTCATTTTTGGGCCAAGGAGATATGCTGGAGAAGCATAATAATGTCGACGTCGGATCAGTCAACGGGGGAGTCCCCCCCTTCAAGGTCAACAAGGTTTAAGATTGGAGGTATTGGAGGACCACATCCCCCTAATAAAGGTGATGACCTGATAATGGATGATGAGATGATGACGTGGACTGGATGATGGTTGATGGGATTCTGTGTGAACCATGAGAGTTTGAACCATGAGAACCATGAGAGCTCTGAGTATGGTAGATCAGAGCCATGCCAATAAATAACAACAATCAAACGCGTAACCGTGAACCAACTACGTTGTTTTTCTGGTGCAGCTGGGCTTGATTAATATGGGGGGGTGTTCTGGCCAGGAAAGGTGGAAATCTAGGTGTTAAATTAGTTTAGTATTGGGGGCTTGAGCTCGGCTTGATTAATAGGAGGGTTCATTACTGCAATCCTATGTTGACATTACATGAGAAGGATCCATCCGCATTTCGCACATATATATATATATATAGATATAGGATTTTGTTGTGGATTCCGCCTTTTGGCCAGGAACATATTCCAAATGTTTGTTCATTGCAGACCTTAGTTGTTAACTTAGCTCATGCACCATCAACCATACTTGAGGCATGGTGAACACTACTCTTGAACATGTTGATCCAAGAGGCATCCACAACTACGATCCCTTCAGTCATCCTCGCACCTCGCTGGCCAGGAAGTCCAACAGTTGCCCGAAGGCTTACCGGTGATCCTGGGCGACACCTTCCTCCGCAGCGTTTTGGCAATTTTCGACGGCGGGAAGTTCGGCACCCCGAGGATCGGCTTGGCTCGTCGGACGACTGGATCTCTAAGTACCACGGAGAGGCAGGAAGCCAAGGGAAGAGGCCCAAGACTTGCCGGCCCAAGATCCTATAGACAAATCATGTTTCTTCCACCTAGCAAGCGAGTCTTAGATCTTATCAGAGCTGTCCTTTCCTTTTCCTCCAGCGCTCGATCGCAGTGGGCACCGCCGGACCTCAACCGCAAGCGCTCCAATCAGGGCACCACTGGGCCTCAACCGCGAGTGCCAGATGGCAGTGCGCACTACCGGACCTAAACCAGACAGAAAGAATGCCAGAAAAAGTCAAGAAAATATGCCAGATAGAATGCCAGATAGCATGCTAGAATGTATCCCAGATAGAAAGCCAGAGTCTTTGCAAGATAGTCGTACAATATGATTACTTAATATATATTTGTAAGATAGACACTTTTTTCTTGTCCGTCGGGTGTCAGCAGAGTATAGTGCCATGGGGGTGGTTGCTCGAAGAAAAACACTTTGTAGTCACGGGGTCCGCACATTGAGACATGTCCGCACTCTTGAACTACAGTTTTGATTGTTAAAATTGTTCATATCTGTGATTTATACATTCTACCGTTCTTCCACATACTCGTTTTAGCTTTTCATAACTTATAGATATTGTCAAAGCAGCACAATATTAAGTAGCCTCAGCAAAGTCGAATAGTCCCAAGCAAGATAAGGAATAGTTCCAGACATACTGATCGAATAGTCCCAGCAAAATCAGGAATAGTCCCAGCATAAGGAATAGCCCCACAAACTCACAGACAAAGAAACTGACACTCCTAAATATTTTGTGTTTATTTACTCTTTGACCCAAATAGCATACTGCTCATCAACTGCCGGCAGGTGGAACCAGCCCCCGACCTTGCCCGAGTTCGTCCTTCTGTTCCTGGCCCTGGCAATGGCCTTTCTGACCTTGACGTTTCGCTGCTGTCGCTCCGAGCGGCCTGTCAAGACGGAGAGTGTCTCCTCCGAGTATCGTGCGCTGCGTGCGGCGTGAGGCACCAAAATGAGAGCGCCGTTGAGAACGATGATCACCTGCATCGTCCCAGCGGCCGACGTCCCCCAAACCCGGTGAACAGGACTCCTCTTCAGATTCCACACTTTCTCCGGGTCTAAGCAGTGAGTCTAAGGTCTTTTTGAACTGTTGCCAACACAAACATCTTCCAGCAGCACTCCACCATAAAGATTCGTGTAAAATGCGAGACATCATCCCATGATGTCTGGCATCACTACCAAGTCCCAACTACCAACTACCATGGCTTATTGCTTCGGTTTTTTCCCTATCGGAGCTCTTCCATCGCTCGCTGCGGTCCAGGAGTCCAGCAGCTCAGAGTCCAGCAGCTCGGAGAAACGGCGTCGGAAGAAGAAGAAGGCGGAGGCGGATCGGGTTGGGGCGGTTCGGGTTTGGCGGAGGCGCTTTTGGTTGGGAAATTTTCAGATTTTGGGGGAAAGGTTTTGGGAACTGTTCAGGATTTTTTGGTTGGGCTTGGGAAATGTCGAAGGGATTTTGAGGTTTTGGTTGGATAGATCATGAGTTGAAGTTGAAGGATTCAGGAAGATGCACAGGTTGGCTCCTGAGACGTTTTGTTGTCCCAACTAACTTTTGAAGATACTTAATGAAATTCAAGTGCAGCATCAACAAAACCTTGTGGGGTCAGGAGATGCCGAATATTGCCATGGATAGATTGTTGGACCCAGGGTCTTGTAGACTCTTGGTTAATGAACCCGCCGGACATGGGATTGGACTACTTGTTCAGATCTGGCGTATTTCGTCCATCGTTTACTTTAAACAAGCTGCACTGACAAGAGAGACATGCAGCCGCCGTGTAGAAAGCTTAGGAACGGAGCCCAAGGCTGGAAAACCCGTCACGCAACATATCCTGCCTCAGGCAATCCAGGCTGGAACGTCACCTTCATGGTGTCCAAACGTAGACATGTATGATTATGACCCAGACACGGCTAATGGGACTGGCATAGGACTACACTGGGGTGGTTTTGACCTGAGGTCGATGTAAATATGCCATACATCGCCATACATGGAGTGCTGGGTGAGTGATTGATAATGACTCACCAATTTCTCCAATCTTCTCACCCTCACTCACCAGTTGTGAGCTGCTTCTGGCAGGCCAAGCGGAAGAAGAAGAGCCGCTCGAGAAAGAAGAAGAGGCAGCAATCAGCTATATTCCCTAGAAAGAATGACATGGAACCTGAAAACCACTGGGTTGTAGAGGAAAAACGGTCTTCCAAAGGTTCATCTTCAGGTTCCATGTGGGTCTTTTCCCACGTGTGTATATATGAAAAGCCGAGTTGCATGTAAAAAAATATGGCGAGTTGTATGACACTCGGCAACGAGTGGGATTCCATGCTCGCAGCTGAGTGATACAATTGCAAATAGTATTCCTTCCTTCAACGCCCTCCTTCTTCTTTGCTCGCAGGAAGGATGGTGCTTGTTCTCCTGTCATGTTTATTGGGGGCATGTTTTGCTTGGTCGCTTGGGCTGCTGGGACGAAACATGGGATTCAAGATGACACCAGCTTGGCGTGCCCCCAGCGGAGTTGTCGACAAAATGATGTATTGAGAGAATAGCTTTGACACTAAGATGCCCTGTTGTTCCAACATGTTCCAACATGTTCCGACGGCTCTTGGTTTTAAGGGTACGACTGGACCCTCCTGGCACCTACCAAACAGTGTCTCCTTCCTCACCGTACCTGAGGTTCGGTACGTCTGGATACCTAGCAGATCGATTGCTTGTGAAGACGACTGGGCCACCGTCATCGCCACGTTCTTAAAGACCTCCCATCAGTCTTCAGCGTTGCCAAGTCCAGCGTTGTTTTTCTGGGACGGGGGGAACTGCGACTGCGCTGGGGCAGCATCTCTCCAGCTCTTCGAAGAGGACGAAAGCCACGGTTGACTGGATCAGCCCAGGGTTCGGAGAGATGTGAGCCGCAGCTGCTTGTTTCGGTGATCTCTGGAGGAGCGAAGAGGATGTCAAAGGGCAAGCTTTTGCAAGACCACACGCAAAGGACAACAGAGTTGAATGTGATGAATTAAGTCAAGACTACTTTGTCCCATGCACTGTACAATCGAATGTTGGGTGGTGATGATGCTCTTTAAAAGTTATTTTCCAACGACTCTTGGAATGAAATCGAATCCACAGCTCGAAACTTGTCCTGGAACCCTGCCGTGGCCAACGAACACATCATGTGGCCCAATGGGGGATAGAGCGGCAAACTGCACCGCCCATGTTCGCGGTGGGCGTTGTGCTGTTGGTGCTCTCTCCCAGCGCTGCTCGCAGCCCCGTTGCGGAGCTTCCACTGCGCTTGACGGGTGACTGGGAGATCCCGAGAGGGGACAAGTGCATCGCAGAAGATGGTAGAGCAGTAGCCTTTGGGCGGCAGCTGGAGGGCATGGGTCGCTTGGGAGATGGTTGGATGGATCAAACTTTGATACTTATGACTATATATATATATACTCCTGAATGACTATAGACTCTTGATGAAGAATGCCCTGACATGAAGAGCTTTTTCAATCCATGCTTGGGATGGTTTATTGATCAAGAGGTCTTCATTCCTACGCCCCACATCCCTTGGACACCTGGCCAATCCATGGGCGATGGGATTTTCCGACGCAACACGGGTTTCAGGCGATATGACGCCCACAGGCGGCTTGAACGTTGTCTCAGTTGACAACGTTGTCCGCTCAGTGGAAACCACTGCAGTTTCGTCTTCTGAAACTTCCATGTCAACTCTCCTTTTCCACTCCCTATAGGAATCCGTTTTCCTACCGAACCTCAGGTCCGGTGATGTGTGGAGACACTGCTATGTATGCTTGGAGGGTCCAGTCGTACCGAACCTGAGGTACGGTACGACTGGATCCTTAGGGCACGACCTGAGTCTAAAGGAGATGAGTCTTCAGGTCCCACACTGTGCCACGTTCCTTCCACTATGAGTCTGTCTTCCGTGCTCCCCATGCCGGCCCTAGGAGTTCAAGCAGTGCTGCGACTTCCGTTTCGTTTTGCGGCATGTGTGGCGAATGATTGGACAGAAGGGTGAGCTGGAAGTGGCACACGCGGGCTGCCTTGACAGGACATACTGGCAGTGCTGCCAGGTGAATGACAACCACGAACCTGGGCAAGCAGGGTTATATAATATTACTATATATATGTAATGTAATATATATATATGTTTTCATTGTGTTGTGCTTGATTGGTCCAGACTGACAAAGGAGGTTGCAAAACAGAAGGCACCATGATGATGTTTTTTTCTGGGCCGAGGGTTGCAATCCACAAGCCATTTGCATGGTTTCAAAACGTTTTGCTGCATCACGTGGAGTCGCCGACGGGCCCAGGATGAAGGCGGCCTGCCCTGGTACAACAAGGGCGTGCTATACATTCGGGTTCGTTCCAGGACTTGGTTTGGCTCAGAGTGATTTGATGGTGATTTGTTTTTTCCCCCTCTTACCGGTGAATCGCCTGTTTGTGTTCCTTTTATTTCTCGGCTTCTATCCAACAAATCCAAAGAGGAGGTCTGGCAGAAACTACCATATCAAATTACTTCAAGGCTCTGCACTGAACTGGTGGGGTGAGACCCTGGCAGAGCATGCTGGTAAGCCAAAGCTCAGTCGAAGCTTTCCGCGCTTCGACATTTCCATTAACACAGGCGCGACCAGACAAACCAGACTTTCCGTCCAGACACGAACGAGCAGACAGGGGACCCGGAGCACGCTTCAGAACACCCATACGATCGGATCATCCTGGACCTGGGTGTCCTGGCATTCGACTACCCGACCCTACGTCAACAGGTCTCCTACTCCAGGGCACCCGGACAGGAAGTGCTAAGTAGATAAGCCAAGGAATCCAATGCCCTCCCATGATTCGGTCGATGTGTTCAGTCGGCATGGTTTTCTCCGCTGTTGTCAGGCGCTGGCTTGCTGTGGCCTTCGGGTTATGCGCTGGCACAGGTGCTGGCGGAGCTCAGTGAAGAAGAGAATCTCAATGAAGCTTGTTGTTGCTGATAATTCTTTTCTCATTGTGCCAGAACTCCATTGAACCACAGGACTTCTACAAACCACAGACCCCAGCGATCGGTTATGTTGTCGCGATGCGTTCTTGGTGTGCCTGTTTCCAGAACTGTCTCCGGAACCATCCCGGACACGCGTAAACAACGTTACAGTTAAATAACCAAAACAAAAGAGTGGCCCGCAGGAAGACCCAATGCATAATACAACAGTGGCCGACTTGAGCAACACCCATCATTCCCATGATCATAGAAATCCAAGGAAGCTATGACATTTTTGGATGTGGGCGCTGGAACCGGCTTGGCCTCTATGGTGGCTTTGCTTCGTGGCTGGCGAGTACTCAGCACTGATCTCTTGGCAGAAAGTTTCTCGACGCTCAGAAGTCCAATTTTTTAATTGCACCCCCAGACGCTCCATGTACCGAGAGAGGTGGACAGCCCTATAGCCCATCCCATCTGTACCACTACAGGGTCCTATATGGTCTCTCAACCTGTCTTGGTATGCCATAGGGCCATATCCATATATATATATACTATATGCCGATCAGGCCAGGGGTGGTGCCAGGGGGGTCAATGGGTCGGCAGTCCTATGGCAGTCCCATGGAGTGTGTGGGCAAATGTATAGGCCGAGAAACAAAACCAATCATAGAGAATCGACGGCGTGGATGGCGACTTCATTCTCAAGATGGGGAGGATACACACCACGGACGAGAGAAAAACACTCTTTCCCACAAACCACTAGAGTCTCGAGTGGGGCTGCCCAATTTTCTTAGCATGGCAGCCCCAAAACTGAGACTCGAATTTCCAGGATGCTCCTGTTCCCAAGCGCTCCAGGATGCTCCTGAACCGTTTCGGTTCGGTTTCGACGACCGGGGCAGTACATACCGAACCGGTTTGGAGGCACGACTGGAGCCTTAGGAGTCGATCAAAAGGAGCCTTTAATGGGCTTTCGACCAGTCCCCAAGGTCATCGCCAGCGCGTGCTGAGTGCGACGGCCACCTTCGGGAATGGGACGGCGGGTCGCTTTCGCACGGGAGAGCTGGACATTTTCAACCCGGACACGTGGCCGGCGGCAACCTTTCAGGTGAGAGAGGAACCGTTCGTGTACGAACTTTCTGTTTTTTTAAATGTATTTCCCTATAGGGCTCCTGGCCCACCTCCTGAGGTGAAGGTAGTTAGGGTGCCAGGGAACCACCTTCACCTGAGGAGATGGGGCGAACTCGGAGCCCTAGGGTTGGTTATTTTGTAGAACTTCTTAGAGCAGACCATTCTGCCTATTATGGGTAATGGCACCGTTGTCCATGCTTAGGCATTTTTGTCCCTCTTGGCGTTTTTGCCCTTTTGGTGGCAATCAGGATCCACCCTCCATTGCTTCAAAGAATTTCCACAGTGATGAATATCATTAGTATAGCATATCCGGAATTTACCAGATGCTTCACTTGCATGTTGTTTATCTATTAGTGTTTCAGTGTTTCTGTGATTCGATTCATTATATGTGTAATAATTATTTGTTTATTGCGTAGGCGTTCTTACGCGTTAGTTAGGCGCTCTTACCCATTAGTTGGGTGGACGAAGGAATGGTACAGCCTTTTGGGGGAGTGATAAATATGAGTTTCAAATACTTCAGATCAGCGACTAGCATCAGGTGGCAAGCGTTTGTCTTCTCAACAGCTTGTTCGTTCAAAATCTGGCTGCCAGCCTCCTCCACGTAAGAATGCATGTAATTGTGTCTCGGCGTTTTTAACCCTCGAGGCTGCAGCATAGGCGTTCTTAGCGGAATGTTCAGCCCAAATCATGCTAGGCGGACTCACATGACATGATTGCTTAAGATCTATATATATATATATAGATAGGTACTGTATACACACAGATTGATTCATGCTGTGGAGGCCAGAAAGCCTGTGATTCTTGCAAAAATTGCCATGTGACGTGTGGCAATCTGCTCTCTCCAAGCCACTTGTGTTTGTTCTCTCGGTGTTTCGGTCGGCTGGCCAGCGGTGTTCTGGTGTCGGCTCCATCGGCTCCCGTCGGACACACGGTCCCGGTCCCATCGGTCGACTCCCGTCGCAGGTGATTGGTGCGACTCTTTTTCGAAGCTTTGAGGATCTTCATCATCTGGCCTTCAGGCGCAGGGTCGCCGAAGCGGTGGGGCCGGGTCCAGCGTCAACGAGAAGCTTGAATTCGCGGTTATTAAAAGAAAAAAAGAACACGGGACCCTGTGCTGAAGAATCGGGTTGTGTTGGAGTTTCTTTTTTGGGGGGGTAGCCTCAGAATTATGTAATTGAGCAAGTTACCGGGAGAGGTATCCAAAAAATGTGAATCTTGATCCCCATGATTCCTATTTCCTTGATTCCTTACCCTGGGCTAGAGTAGATGTACCTGTGGATTGAAGAAGTAGATGGCGCAGTCATCCCCAACGTTTAAAGTAGTGGACCCCGGGTCTAAAAAGCACCCCGACATGAAACACGTCCAATCTCAGCAACCATTTGCTTCAAAACGCCTCGTGCCTCGTGCTAAAGAAAAACGTCCAGTGAAGCACCGTCCCGTCGCTGAAGGACACATGTTGCTTATGACTCGTGGGCTTTGCTGGAAGAGTCACCCAGAAGAAAAGCAACGGTTGTTGATGCGTTTAGAGTGCACTTATGCCACCAACCAATGACCAATGGCCCGTTTTTGATTCCTTTTGTGGACACCTTTCAGCAGCCCACAGCCGTGTGGACCCCTTTGTTCTGTCTAGCGCTCCTCACGTCACCCAGGCGACCCCCAAAATCATCAAACACCTCTATCAACCTGGTCGCCTGAACGAACGCCTATGCGGAGGCGATTGGTGTCGAAGTGCTTGGCTCCACGAGGCGTGGCGCTTTACACCTTCAACTTCCCGGAGTATCTCACACAAGAGGCTGGGGGCGACACGTTCCGAAGTCCGGCTGTTTGGGCCCCTTGAAACACCATCTGACTCTATAGTGGTCCCCAGCTGTAGATAGTGGCACGGTGTCCCATAATTTCCCAGGCATCTTTTAGTAGGGAAGGTACTTTTCTATCTTAGTGGGGAAGGTACTTTTCTATCTATTTGAGGGTCTGGTCTGGTTGTTTTAGTGGGGAAGCCTTTCTCCAAGCCATTGACCTGACCTGGGCTCACCAAGCCCGGCGGCGCCTCCGAGGGACCCAGCTGCAGCAGGTGGGAAGGTGGTTCCAGCAGGTTGAGGCATGCGACCACGGAAAAACGATAAACCCTAGTCCCACCTTCTCAGAAGGTACGACTGGAGCCCTAGGGAAAATAAATGACCCGTCGCGGAGTTAACCATATTTCTTGTAAGCACCACCAGATTAATTGGAATCCATCATGGACACTTCACCACACATATTTTTTCATGCAAACTGTTCAAGGGGCCAGTTTCCACTTCGATGATGATCCCAGTGTAAGGTATTGAAGGATGTTGAAGGGAGGCCGTCGCTATTTCTGAGTGTCTCCGCTGGTTGGTGCACTCTCAAAACCACCCAAATCAGCCACACCGAAGAGCAAGACGCTTCCTGATAGGTTTTTGTACTGTGTTTCCATGTTTTTACCGTGCACTTGATGAGGTTCCTATACAATATACACGACTTCCAGCATACGGTGGGGCTAGATCAATGTTCGGGTTGCTTCAAGAGACGTCAACTCCACAAAACGTGTAAATATACAGGAACTGGAACATCTAGCCCACTCCCTCCAACACTGGGTATCCATCTTGCAGGTCCTCAACCAAGCTGGAAACCCAAACCGAAACAACTTAGCGGCAATGCTTGTTCCAAAAAAATACGGCAATTGCTTGTGCGAAACATTGTGTTCTCTAACCCGCACGGAGTAGCTGCTGTTGCCATGTCACTCGTTTCGTTTCAATCGGGCAAACCCTCCGGAAGCCCCAGCAAAAAAGAACGTGCGGGTTAGGAATGTCTTTGTTCATTTGGCATGATCCTTCGGCTTGCACAAGCCCTTTTTAGGCCTGGCCTGCCTATGCCTGCCTTCTTGCCTGGTAGCCTGCCTGCTGCCTGCCACGCAGGTGAAGGAGATGATGCCCAGATTTCTGGGCCTCGGGGAGGACAAGCTGGAAGGATCGCTCCTCCGGCAGGAAGGCCCTCGCTGGGTGCCCATTGAGGCCAGCTGTTCGGGCGCCCCGCGGGGTGTTTCTGTTGGTCATTTGATGTTGCTCAATGAGACCATTTCCCAGACACGACACATGGGACTGCCATAGGACTGCCGACCCATTGACCCCCCTGGCACCATTCCTGGCCTGATCGGCATATATGGCAGTCCCATGGGGTGTTTGGGGCTTGATGTTGCTCAATGAGACCATTTTGTAAGTCGTTGATCGTCCCAATGCTGACTCTGATCGTCCCAAGAACACGGTGGTCGCATCTTGGACGCCCATGCCACGCACCCTGAGGACCTGGACGAGATCCGGTCAGCTCTTTACTTGGTGGCCTTTCGACACGCAACCGCCTGAACATGATCGACTGCCACCCGTGGAGCTTCACCGCCGGTACCGGTTTTCACCGGCCCGACGTGAAGCGACCAGCGACGTGCAGAACCGGCTTCACCGTACGGGTCCTTCAGGACGATTCGGCGGGGTCCGATGCGGCTGTCCGCTGTTGACGTGGCCGGCCCTACCACGGCGCTGTGGGTGGAAGCCAAAGCGGACCAAAATGGGGAGGGAGGAAGCGGAACTCGGAGCGCCTCCGTCCGTGAGCGGCTTGGTTTCAGGAAAGGCTGAACAACACAGAGCAACGTCCGGACCTATAGTGAAACACTGTGGCCAAGCGTGGATCGGGGGACAGGCCGAGCCTGGATCGAATGTCGAACCTCCCATCTCCGTCTCCCGATGGGTTTACCATTCCCAGTCGACTCCATGGGACTGCCAGTCCGGTCTGCCAAGAAACGGCCAGGGGTGGTGGTTGAAAAGGGGATCAATGTAAGCATTTGTATGGCAGTCCCATCAAGTCTATGGGCATTGTTTCAATGTTCGAAAATGCACGGTCAAATGTTTGAGGTGAATCATTGACTCTGGAAACCCCTCAGAGCAGCTTCTTTTCAGCGGTCGCGCGTGAGTCCAGTGGTCATCCAAGACTTTCAGGAACAAAAACAAGAAGACACATGAACCGGGAGTCACATGTCGGGGTGCTGCAGTTGGAGGAAGCCAGGGTGCCCCTGTCACATCGTCGCATCTTGGACGGGACTCAAAACCACCCAACTCCAGCCCGTGTGACTCCTGGAAAGAACATCAACATTGGAGACCTACACCATCCTACGGTCCTGCACCTAAAATGCTTAGATTCAGGCTACAGGCCAAGACCTGTTCAAGAGCTCCCAACAATCCCAAGAACCAGTTCTCGATCTGGCCAGGCCTGGAGATTGAGAGCTCCAGCAGTGGAGACCTGGCGCGGCACCCCAGTCGACCTGGTGGTAGATGGCACAGACATCAACCAGCACCCGACTGCTGACTGCTGGAAGTTTTTTTTTTTTTTTTAACATGGAGGTTCAAGTTACACAAAATTTGTAATGGCTTTTCGGCGCAAGGCACATCTAAGGCACTTCCATTTCACCCAGAGGACCCAGAGGCACAGGCCCGGCATAGGCATAAAGTACGTTTTTTCTTAGTAATTAGGCTTTTGGATGCCCTGAGAGAGGTTCATTTTGGTCTTGTTTTTTTCGAACACGACGTCGATCCTAGGTGAACCTGGTGGACGGTGATTGGTTTGGGCTAAAGCAGGCCCAGTCGATCTAGATCCTCTAACGCTGTTCACCATTGGTCCATCGTACGTGGGTTCTAGGGTCTGTCCGAACAGTCAGTAAACCAACGTGGGTAAACCTGTTCTAGGGTAGACCCAACGTGGGTTCCATGTGGTCAAATAAAGGGTGAAACCTGACCAAGAAATACCATGAAATACAGTGGTACAATGTGGTACAGTAAGTGGGATGCGTTGGACGAGGCACTTGAACTGGTTTTGGGACTTGTCACTTTCAATGCTGCTCTTTGAGATTGTCGCCCTTCCTCCGTTTCGTCCGTGGATGACCTTGGGGACCTCAGGAGATCGTCGCTGAGACACCTGGCGCACTACTGGCACTGGAGTCGAAAGCAGCCAATGAGCCGCTTGGGCCAACGTACGTGACAGCGAGAATGGTGACAGAAGGGAAGAGACGTGGACGAGGTTTCTGACAGATTACAGTGGTTTCAGAGTAGATGGCACAATCCCCTAAAGGACATGTTTGAACCTTGGGTACTTGGGTTTGTGTCATCTACTCTGAAGCCAATATGATTCGGAAGTAGGGTCCGTGTGTTTGTGTTTGGCGAGAACGGTGTAGTGATGTGTAGTGGTTTATGTAGTATACCTTTTTTTCTACCTTCAGGAGGTATAAACGTTGGTGATCTATGTTGAACTCTACTAACTCACCCCCAAAAATTCGAGTAACAATTGAGAAATATTGGGAATATTGTTTGAGCATCAATACTAATCTAATTGATATAAATCACGTTATACAGAATATCATCAACCAGCAGTCACAAGACGCGGTGCGATCCATGGAGGTAGTCAGGGTGCCCAGCTACTCCACTCACTTGGGGACCAAAAACACCACCCCGACATGTGACTCCCAGCAGAGGTTGAAGAACCCTAGTTCGACCATCCCATAGGTCCCTTAACAAGCAGAAATGAAGCGTAGGGACCCTAGTTCGACCAGTAGCGATCAACCCTAGTTCGACCATCCCATCAGGTCACTGGATACCTCTGTAGGTCCCTTAACCTGACGCAGGCCTTTGGAGGCCACGATGGAGACCGCCTTCGAGGAGGTCACCGAAGAGCAGCGTGGACCCGGCGGCACAGAGCGGAGCCGAAGACCGCGTTTTCGCGACACCCCACACGCGCGAACGAAGCTCCTATCGCAGCTGCTGGCCACAGTTCGTGACCCGAACTTGGGGCAGTCCCGGCCCGAGACTTGCAGGCCACGGCCTGTTCGAAGCAAGCAGGGGATCAAGCTCGGTCACGAGTCCTGAAGAACCAGGTATAGTAGTAAGGCCAGGAGCCCAGTTCGTAGCTTCTGGCTTCTTGGGCTCCGATAGTGGCGTCCCCCAAAGTGGAAAACCCTGAAAACATGTGAAACCACCGGTGCTACGGATCCGCCGAGCCAACATTTTTTTCGACCCCAACACAACCCGAACCTTGAACGTTGGGCGTACGCGGTGGTGGTGAATTTTCGGTCCACCAGACCCACCTGGAGCATCTGGTCTGGGTGTCCTGTCATCGGACTTCGTGTAGGGTAGTCCAGCCCACAGGATGGACCTGGTAGGGGTTGCCAAGAGAGGTTAAGTGACCGTAAATAGGATTGTGCTGGGGTACCTATATATGGGATAGTCTATATAGGGTCATTCAACCTCTGTTGGTGAGAAACCCTCCGACACCCGTCCGGGGGACCGGAGGGCCGGAAGGCGAAGAACATCGAATGCGACAGCTCCAGCATTCCCAGACACTCCATAGGGCGCCCATATGACCCCCCAAACCACCCCAATGTCCCTTGAGTCTCTAATGACCCTTTTGAATTTGCCTTTCCAAGAAAAAGAGGTTTTTGAAAGAAAGCACTCCTTTTATTTTGCATATGTCACGAAATGTTCCTTTTTTGTTTGTGCCCTCAGATCCTCCTTAGACAGTTTCCTGACACCTTTTTTCGGCGTCCAAAACGCGAGGCGTCTTTAAGCGTCCGCACCGGACGCGTCCGGATGAAGATTCACTCTGTACCTTTTTCTGTGTCCTCATCTTTGAAAACGCGTTTTGCGAGCAAAAACGCAAACATATTAGACCCAAAACAAAAACGCAGAAAAAAAAGGTCTTTGGAGACTCAAGGTAGACATACATGGAGTGTCTGTTTTTTTTGGGGGGGGGTACACTCACTTCCAGGTTACCTGCGACTGACCGGACCTTCGCGGTCAAGACGTGCTTATTTCTTTTTTGGGGTGGATTTGGTCGTTGGGTCGCGGCGTTCGGTCTCATTCTGCGCCAGAACTCGAAGCTCATTACAGGGTTCATGGCAGTTCCCCTAACCCTGGGAGTCAAAGATTATAAAAAACATGGTCTTTATAGGGGGACCTGAAAGGGAACGTTCCTTTATTTCAGCCGGTCAAACAAATGGTCCTTGGACTTATTAAGATGGGTTAACCCATCTTAACCTTCTTGCGACTTCTGAAAGGTCGCTCCAGTCGTCCCCCTTCGGCTTTCGGGAGCTCCACACTGGACCTTCGTTTTGAGCTCCGGCCTTGTGTTCCGACGGTCCAAGGGGAGAAGCAACGCCGGCGGCTGGAACGCTTCCGGGCGCGGGGCCACGGCCCGTCCGTGGGACGTGAGGGGGAATGGTGTTCGACTGAAGGCACTGGCGACCAGAGGATGTAAATAGGATCAACTTGAGTCATCATTAGGGTGCTTTCTTTTTTGGTGATCTCATGGGGGTCAAGATGAGTCCATCTGGAACATGCGGATGTGACGCTTTCGCATATCCCATGGAGGCAGTCCAGCTTCATTGCAGATCAGCAGGCTCCAAGTTTTGGGATACCAGCTTCTTCAAACCCTAAGAATCAAGAACCCGACCCGTTCGGTGAAGGTTTGGTTCGGGTCACCCCTGCGTTCTGGGTCAAAAACCTCCAGGTCGGTGGTCTGGTCCAATGATCCTTAGGGGAGTCCCATCTGACCATCTATACGGTCCAGTCCCGGCCTCGAAGCAGGGCTTAGGGTTAGCTCGGTCACGAAGGACCATGAGAGCACCCGACTCTATATACAGGTCTCTGACATGGCTTTTGGAGACTCCAAAGTGGTAGGTGGCGACCGAAGTCGAAGAAAGCCTGGCCTAGCCCAAGGTTGAGAGCTGACTGACCTGGTAAGCCGGCTCAGACGCTCAGGCAATGCAAGCACAAGCCGGAGTAGCTCGGACGCTCAGGGACGCACGACCGATCCAGTCGCGCTAAGCGATCTTGAAACGAGTCGATGCCGGACGGTATGACTTGAAGTCAAGTCATGAAGCTTTGTCCATTGCTATAGTGCCATATATATAGTCTAGTGCATCTATAAGATTAGCGCATTGGTCCGAAACGATGGCACCTTTTGGCCAACATATAGACGAACGGCATGGGGTCGGCCAGGGGGCCCTGTCAGGGTCCCCTGTGTTATTTTTCCGACTCGCCAACTTATACACAAAGCCAGGGGCGCTCCGGTCCGGTGATTGAGTTCGCCTGCTGATCCAAACCGGAGTTTATCCTTGTGAATTGGAATGTGAAATCCCTGTAGTGCTACCAGTGGATCTTGGCCAATCCTCGCCCTTCTTGTTTTCTTCCTTTGGCCAGGAGGAGGACGATTCTGAGGCCTCCGGAGCTTCGGTGCCTCATGGGTTCCTGAAAGGGGCCCACAGTGGAGCCGTATCAGGGGAGTCTGCCACAAACATAGCAGAGATCTATGAGATGTGTGTTCAACATACGTCGACAACTCTACAAACCAAGAGAGAACGAACGCAACCTTGTTGATGATGTTCAGGATTCTGCACCACTTCCTCCTACCACACTCTCGATGGGGCCGAAGAGATTAGTTTTTGGCCCTTGCGCGCGTGCAGGGCAAAACCAAGAAGATGGAGTTAAAGGCGCGGCTGTGAGACCCCCGGCCGTCGCCACATCGCACCCGTCAGCTATGGAACCTCTTCCACTAGGCACTATGGTTGGTATGGAATAGACCTACCCCAAACCCTCCAT